CAGCCTGTGCTCTCACCCTCCCGGGGCTCTGCATACTTGCAAGCCACAGGGTACTCGCTAATCTGCTCATTACTGGCAGCATTTCTTAAAGGTGGTCAAGCTTGGGACTGCAACTTACAGCCTTGGGAGGTGCCACCATGGTTGATGGCTAATTAATGTATATAAATGCTATTGATACAGCCAGACAGAAACTATTTTTGAGACTTATAGAAAATAAAAGGCAACATATTTAAGCTTAGAATTGTTCAAATTTTGGATGCTCATATTTCAATGATTGACTATAAGCTACATGTTAAAAATTTCAACTAGGGATTTTTCTTTTCTACAAATTGATCATAACCTAGGCAAAAGGAGAAATGTGAGACGTATGCAAGTTATGAATGAATGGTGTGGCCACACCTGGATGCATGATGTGATTGTGAATTTATGAATGGAAATGTCTAAATTGCCTTGGATATAATTAGAGATATTTACATTGCCTCGGGTATTGCTTAAAAAATATCAAAATCACTTTAATAGAGTCAAAAAGAGCATCCAGTTAATGAGTCAATGTCTTAACAGGAAAAATTATGATTTGAGCCCTAAGAGATAATCAATTAAAAAGTTAGCAAAAGTTGATAGCATTAGCTTAGAGATATGAGTAATCTATGATACTATAAAATCTATTTTGGCAGATGAGAGGATATAGGCCTTACTAAATTTTTATGGTTAAAAAAGGACATCTAGAAAATAAGGGTTAATGCATGATTTTGAGATATGCGTGCCCCTGCCCCCTGGCTGCAAAAATTTCCTAGTGGATCATTTGAAGTGATATTTAGATATGTTTTCCTCCTCTTGAATCCTGGGACACCAGAATCCTCGATATGGGAGAAACATTACCACTTCTTGGACACTGATTCAGGGCATATACAGCCTCTTAGAGAGCCCTGCAATAGCTCTGCATGCTTCTGTTTTCTAATTCATCATTTAACTGTTTAAGAGGCTATTCCTTCTTTCTATATGCCAGTGTATATACCCATTCACACAAGTGTGTGTGTGTGTGTGTGTGTGTGTGTGTGTGTGTTGTGTGTGTTTATATATATATATATATATATATATATATTCATGTGTGTTTGTATATATGAATATGTAAAGATGTGTATACATAGGGGATTTATTGGAATGACTTATCCCTGTCATTATGACATCAAATGACTAGCTGTAAATGCAAAAATCCAAAAATCCAGTAGTTGCTACATCCACAATGCTGGAAGACTCAGATGGTCTTCACTGCATGCTAGATTCCCATATGAACAAGCTTCAAAGTCAGTGAAGGAATAGATGTGGTAAAAAAGAAATGAGCCGCCAGGCTTTGGTGCACATGCCTTTAATCCCAGCACTCGCCAGGCAGAGGCAGGGGGGGCTATGTGAGTTCCAGGCCAGCCCGGTCTACAGAGGTAGAGTGTACAAATAAAAACAAAAAAACCCGTGCAAAAAAAAAAAAAAAAAAAAAAAAAAAAAAAAAAGAAAAAGAAATGAGCCAATATGAAGACAATGAGATGCCATCGAATAGACTCATCCAGCAACTGGTGGAAGTAGAAGCAGACACCCACAGCTAAACCTTGAACTGAACAGAAACCCAGATGCAGAGAAGGAGAACTGATGAGCAAAGGGGTCCAGACCTCCCTGAATGTGGGTGTCAGTGAGGAGATTTTATAGTTGGATATCTATGGGGACTCTTGAAGTGGACCAGTACTTAATGCTACCCTAGGAATGGACTTTAGGAGCTCAACCCACATGGAGGGATACTCCCTGAGCCTAGACACAAGGGGGTGGGCCTAGGCCCTATCCCAAAGAATATGACAGACTTTGAAGACCCCTTATGGAAGGCCTCACCCTCCCTGGGGAGCAGAAAGGGCATGGGATAGGTAGGGCGTTAGTTGGGGTGGGGCAGGGGAGAAGGGGAGGGAGAGAGACCTGGGATTGACATGTAAAATAATTTCCCTCCTAATTAAAAAAAAAAAGAAAAAGGAAAGAAAAAAGACAATGAGCCAAACGCTTTATTTTTTCCTGTCATTATATAGACTTACAGTAGAAGGTATGAAGGTGTAACTTCCAGCCAGAAGATTGTTTTCAAAGGTGTATGTCTTCCCACCTCAAAGATGTGGACTATAAGTGGATTCACCCCTTTTAACAAAGCAAAAATTATATTTTACAGGAATTCCATCCATATCTGAATTGTAATTTATTCCAGATGAAGTGAAGTCGACAACCAAGAGTAGTCATCAAACTGAATAATGCCAGAAATTACATCTATAAAATCTCACCAATGGGTGTTGGTGGCGCACACCTTTAATCCCAGCACTTGGGGGGCAGAGGCAAGTGGATCACTGTGAGTTCGAGGCCAGCCTGGTCTCCAGAGCGAGTGCCAGGATAGGCTCCAAAGGTACACCTTTGTTTACAATTTGCATCTGTTCAATTTAGAGCTACCAAAATAGATTGGTTTGACCAATAACCATTGCTAAATTCTTACAATTAAATTTGGTAACTAATGAAAAAAACAAACAAACAAAACAACAAGAGGATTTCAACATCGAAAACTTGTTCTCAACTCTGGCTTTCTCTTTCACTTGAAGCCTTCACTGTTTGCCTGCTCATTCACTAACCCACCCTAGCTGTGGTTCTCTCTCCTCTCCACATTCCAGGGCAATCTCATTCTTTCCAGACAGGTGACCTTGCCTGGCCTGATACAATAATCCACATGTTCTTTGAGACAGCAATGAGCCACGATTGAACTTTTAGAAAGAATAATGGATGTGGAGCTTTAAGATATGAATGGAAATATTATACACTACTGAGTCCATGGATGAATCTTGGAACCCGGATGAAGGGTGGATGACAGCTCTGATATGGAAAATGGAAAGAGAAAACTGAATAGCATGAAAATGCTCTCTCTTTTTTTTTTTTTTTGGTTTTTAGAGACAGGGTTTTCCTTTGGCTTTGGGGGCTGTCC